CCCCCCCCCCCCCCCCCCCCCCCGCCCTATGAAGTATTGAAGCCTTTTCTTATTGATTATCCTCTCCTGCACTCGCACCTGCTTTATTCTGCGTCTCTTTTTCGTCCCGTTTCCTTTTATAAATGTGTCTTTTACTGCTTTTTCTTTCTGATTTCCTCTGGATCTCTACCTTTTCTCTTCTTTTGCATTTCTGTTTTGGTGTGGTTTGGATTGCGCCTGCTCTGTGTTTTTGAAGTCATGAGTTCAGTGTCTCCAAGATGAGTTTGAGTCCTCTTCCAGTCCTCGGTTTTGATCTGATGCCGTTTGTGTTTTCATTAAGAGTTTATTGTTACTTAATGTCCGGAGTGTAGCCTTTGTCCAGGGGGGGAAGTGTTGGCGCCAGTGCAATTGAACTAAATGTTGAAATTTGAGTTGGATTTTTTTACTGTGAGTTGAGGAGGAGTTCATGATGTCATGTATGTATGATGTAGGTTCCACTTATTGAATGTTTCCATCAAGGAGAAGTCTCGGGATGGCTGTTCAGGCATTGTGTGCCACTTTAGCAGAATCAGATTTTTCTCCTATATGCGTGCTTTGTATGCCTTGCTTTTCCCTCCCATAATGCACCACTGTCCAAATACATCAAACGACATAAATTGGTAATGACGGCTACGGCAGGCAGGATAAACTGAGATGAATCCAGATTAATCCAGTCGAATCTGTTTGTTTGACTGGGGGTTTACGGGGGATTAGGGAACAACTAAGAGTCAAAATGGCGGAGGTATCTAATGTACTCTGTCTCTGTGCCCCGGAGTTAAGAAGGTTAACTGGAAGAAAGAGGAAATGTGGTAGGATTTAGACTGTGAGCCAGGGTTGTAACACCGGCTTGCCCTCGTCAGGCACTGTACGTGGCACAGGCTGAGTCATCAGAGCAGCTGACGTGCTTTCAAGCCAAACACTTTGAAAGGGTCACAGGTAGTAACACCTGCTCCTGATGGTTTTATATGTACAAAAAGAAACATCCTGCTATTTATATCTTTTCATGGTACAAAATACACTACAGGCTCTACAAAAGCAAAACTCCAGACTCATTATTCCTCCCAGTATCAAACACCTCTGTCCTTCTGTCAGACCTTCCACCAGTTTACACGTCAGTCGAGCTACTACGCGCCTGTTTCATGTTCCAAACACTGGAGTAAGGTTGAGGATTAGGACAGAGAGCAAGAGGTGAATCTACAGTGTGTGTGTGTGTGTGTGTGGGTGTGTGTGTGTGTGTTCATGGTAGAGTGACACCTGTGAAATTTCAAAAAAACGTTTTGACAATGACTGTAGTTCACATAATTACTGTAAATGTTTTCCTTTTTTTTTTTTTTTCTTTTTTTTACAATTAACCGATATAAATGAATATGTACGTATGAATAAATATATACCTATATTATTAAGACTTGTCTGGTTTTCACTCTGGTGTTGAGCTTGTTCTCTGTTTTATGGCCAGCGGTTGTTTTTTTGCGTTATCGGAGCAGCAGATGGCAGCCATGAGCCAGTCGTAATGATTCCTCCATCACTGCTGGTCTGATCTCAGCTCTCAGCTTGGTGACTCAGGATCTCTCAGCTTTTCAAAGAGACAAATGGATTTGCTTTACTCAGGAGTAAAGTGGAGTAAACCACCAGTTCCTAGACTAGGATACTTTGTTTACTTGAAGGACATCATGAAAATTATTCTGTCAGTTTTTACATTATTTTTATGGTCAGTCCTACTTTGTTTTATAATGTCTGTCGATGATTGTAGCTGTTCTTCAAAACACCACTTTGCGATGTTTGTAAAAATGCTTGAATTAGATGTTACAATTTATTTTTATTTGTGTTGTGCCAATATGAATATGCTTGGGATGGGTTGAATGCAGAAGTTAAATTTCATATGTACCTAATGTATTTAATGACTATAATCATTTTTTTTTATTTGTCTCATTTTTTGGATTTGCATCATAAGGAATGTAAACGGCAGCAACAAAAACAATTCTCTGGGCAGATAAGATAGCTGACATCTTCACATTAGAAATTCAACGTGAGGAAAACATTGTCCGTCAACTTTTGAGTGCGTTTGAGCATCATGACGTAAACGCAGACTCCACCTCCTCTCGTCCCACCAGAGTCCTGCAATGTCAATGTAAGTAGTGTAATAGTGTACAAAATGCATCGTCTCTGTGCAAAATCATGTTCTAAAGTTCATCTGAAGATAATACGATCAAGGGCACTAAAAAGACTGACAGACTTGCAAAATTGTGAACAGTTTATTCCTGAGATACATTGCACAAGTGTCTCTTTGATCATGGTAGGAACAGCATCAATTCTAAGAGCACAGATGGGTGTCTGTGGTTTAAAATGTGACTATTTGGGCGTTTCTGACACTGCATGCAGAGTCAAGTCTCTATGTTTGTGTGTTCCAACATACCCATGTCTGAGGCGAGAGCACAGATGAACAATCTGTATCAATTTATACCAGTGGAATGAGCAGCAGCTCTGGTCCTGTGACTACACCATGACGACCGCTGTCACGGCTGGGATCTGTCTTCCGCCGCATGGGGCTCATTTTCTTTCTCTCATCCTCCTATTGTATCTCCCGTCTCTCAATCACTGAGAGATCAGTGCGTTTCCCCTCCTGTTTTAATGCTCATGTTTAGCAGCCGTGTTCCGGCACCTGGGGTATCACATTGGAGGATGAAAGGGTGTCTCAGAGGGAGACGTGTGTGTGTGTGTGTGTGTGTGTGTGTGTGTGTGTGTGTGTTATTCATTCTCCTTCAGCAATTCTCTCAACTGTTCTGTGTTTTCTGCGTTTGAACACAGACGGATCAGATCACAGCTCACTGCACACTGCCCCACCAAGACATTGTGTTTTGGTTTATTTTTGGCAGCAAAGCCACAGCTACACAGACAACTTTTTGACTTGACTTTTGTTTATTTATTTATTTATTTTCCTTTCAGCAGTCACTCTGCTATCTGCTGTGCCCTGGCTCTGAGTGAAGCAATAATTAATGTGATAACTGAGGCTCTCTCCCTTTGTCTTCATTCTGTCTCCTTTCTACAAGCCACCCACGCACAACGACTTTCTTACAGCTTAGGGCAAACTTTGATGTCAGGCTTAGGTGAAATAATGCAGTGCAGATAGACTACACTACTTCAATCACATTTAAGTGTTTCCTCCCCGTCTCACAATGGTGCAGTACTGGCTTTGAAATACCACTTATTATGTTAAATCTACCAGTCTTTTTTTTTTATTTTTGTTTTTTTTACCTTAATCAGGTTAATGCAAAAATCAGTAGCTGTGACCACAACCATATTGCTTCATTCTCATTTGAGTTGTTCTAAAGAGGGCAATCAATAGAAACTCACCCCAGAAGACTGGTGAAACCAGGTAGGAAATGAGATTGCATTTGAAATCAGAAGTGCCGATCCTCTGGCCTTATTGTAGCTACAAATCATGCCATCCCTGGTGTAGCTTTAACTCTACAGGAAAGCACCTATAGCCTCTGTGTTTAGAGGGCAGGTGGGGAAATGACATGAAATTAATAACAGAGTTAAGCTTGGCTAAAAACTACCCCCCCCCGCAAAAAAAATTAAAAAAAATAGAAGTAGTGCAACTCATCCCATATGGGTCATTTTCTGCTATATAGGAGAAGATGACTGTGATGAATTGACTCACAATTTAATAGGCTGCAGAAAGTTCTGCAACAGCATCCTACACCCACTTCTGTCACGATAACAACCCTCTGACATTGATTCATAATAATGACTATGTTGTTTTTTACTGTATGTGGTGGCTGTACAGCGATATGAAACTCCTTGGCCATATAAATTAACCGACATGGGCTAGATGGTGTCATTAATTAACCTGTTGGAACTATTTGCAATGATGTAGTCACAGTTCATTTTAATTAGTATTTTTTTGTTTGTACCAAGGACGGCACAAAGTAAAAGTAAAGAGGTGCACTTTACCGCTTTGACGTAAAAAAAAAAAAAAGAAATCGAGCGAGAACATGAAGAGCGCTCATTCTACTTTTGTTGCAAACATTTATCCTCTCAAAGAGAAAAAGCATCTTTCTGTTTACGGATTGTGAGGTAGTCTATATTTGGGCTTGAAATAAGCCCCCGCCCACGGCCGTGGTCACCGATTCTGTCTAAATGAATCCTGGCAGAGTTGTAAAAATGGACCCAATCATGCACCTCAGACGCACGGGAAGGCGTGCCTCAGATTGCGCTTAAATTTAAGTGTGTGCAGTGGTGAAAGGCACAGCTCGCTTTGGATTTACACCCGCCCGGCGCCTTCCACAACACACGCTTTGTTTGGATCTAATCATACTAAGCATCGATGTTTTGCTGTTTTGAACCCTTTCTTAAAACTGTCGGACGGAATTGTTCCACATTGGAGTTTTCAGATGCGCTTCAAGGGACGATACAATTACTCTTCCATCCCGAATGCTTGTCCTTGCATGGCATGAGCGAAATATAAACAGCTGGTGTGTGTATGTTTAGAAACTCTTTCATCAACCTGCAGTCGGTGCGTGGAGGGCAAATGACCATAAGGCGTCCACCTCACAGCGCGCACACATTCCTGTGATGTGGGTCTGTCACACTTTGCCGAGCTTTTGTATGGCCGAAGCCGGGCATTTCCTACCGACTGGACACAGTTTGAGGAGTTAAAAGATTTTCTTTATTTTTTGTGTCTTTAACGACTCTGTCCACTACGGTGTCAATGATGACTGAGAACAATGAGATGGAGAGCGACTCTCAGCTCCAGCGCTCTCCAAGCACCATGTCCATCCAACCGATGTCATCCAAGGCAAGTACCCACAGCTTTGAGCTTTGTTCCGTTAAGACAATACTCTTTTATGTCCTACAGATATATGTCCTATAATCTCTGTAACGAGGAGAAATCGAATCTCAACTTCGCAGAACAGTTTCCTCCATAGAAAATTTAAGCTCAATAATTTTTGCTGAATAATAGGAGAGGTTATTTTACTTGTTATTCCTCCTTATTAATTCCGCCGGTTTGTGTAACATTCATTCTTCACAATTGCAACTGTATTAGTCATGACTGCGTCACTAGGTGTAACCACACACGTAAGGTGTGATGTCACTCTGTCTCTGTCTGCCTCTTTCTGTCTGCCTCTTCAAATTCACTTCCTGCACGCAGACACACACATACACACAAAGGGGATTTATGCTTCGCATTAATTCATACTTTGTATTTTAATGAGTATAATTTACGTGGTAGGGTGGTTACAATTAATGCTTTTCATAGTTATTATTGGGTGATCTGCTTTTTGGTTTTACTGACAAGTCATATCTTACTTTTCTGTTACATTACTGCACAGACACGCACGCACGCACGCAGGCACACACACGCTCAAATAACTTTATATTCTATGCTGCAAGAAAGTTTATATTGCAATAAGCATACATGGCCACATTTATATGTGCATTTTGTGCCTAATATAGAACGAGATCCCTTTCACCGCACAATGTGAGCCTCAAGTGCCCTTACAAAGTGTCCTTATATTCCATTCAATTTGTTGACTTCACTGTATAAACAAAGATTTTAAGGGCTGGCTTCCAAGTGCAGGGGCTGTAAACGCCTTCTCAATGCCTACTTTTTAATGGAAGGCTTTAAGGACACTTGATTCATTAGGCCCAAACACTTCATACAACTCTCTCAGCTGAGTCTCCGTCTCCACCTCTTGCCCCCCCCCGCCTCCCACACACAAACACAGTAAAGTGACACTCAGATGCTTCATCTAAGCATTGTGAGAACCATGAAAGTCGGCATTGTATTGAGCTTTCTCCAGTGTGCACCGCTCCATTTCCCCATTCCTCACCAGCTACTATAAAAGAAATTGGGCGACCTCCTGTGCCAAGCAGGCCCGATTATTATTCGCATGATTCATCGGCTAAATTCACCACATCACAACCATTTATATCACAAACTAATCGGGCTGGCCATTCAATCAGCAGCTCTGTTCCTATCCAATAGATTGATGCTGCTTTTGATGAACTCTAGGGCTCTGTGAAGAATAAAAGTGAATAGATTTCACTTGAACTTTCAGCTCCTGGCATAGCTCATATATGTTTGACGTGCAGGTGAAATGTTAATTGTAACATCTTTTGAACTTCCTTTAAATGCTCAGGATTCAATAGCTCCCCGCCACTTGAGGGTCATTGAGAATGTGCAGCTATAGAGGAGTCTATTAAGGAATCTTGTAGGAGAATACTGAAGTTGATGTCAGCATGGCTCTGATATGCACAGGTGTGGTCCCAGGAGGATTGAAAAAATCTCTTGCATCAATCTTCCACCCATATCTATTTTAAACACTTAATCAAGACCATTGCTAAGATACAAAAAACACACCGCCACAGGGTTTGATTTTTGAAGGAATCTAATCAGACACATAGGGCACACACATTAATTAGATAAGGATGACAGGGAGCTTGCTCTAATAACACACGCTCTCGGAAATCCACCAGCAGCACTTCCCCACAAAGATGGATATCAGAAATGAGGAACAGAGGGATATAGTGCCAGAGGATTAAGAGGAATGGAAGCATGGGCTTTCTCCCTGGTTCCCAACAATGTACTGGTCCATTGCCAAGACTCGCAGACATGTGATTGGTGGAGCAGATGAGACGCCTGAGCAGCAATCAACAGCCTATAGTGGCGCTCTTTGTGGAGAGCTGTTGGATTGCTCAGAGATGGTGACGCTTTGAGAGCATTTTCCTGTGATGGAAGTGCACAGGTAAACCTCTTCTTTTAGGATGAGTGCACAGGACCATCTCCGGGGCGCAGATATACTTAAAATAATACCCTCCAACATGTTTTTTAGAGACTGGTCCATTTGGCAGCTTGCCAACTGTGTGACAATAACATCACAATTCCTCCATGTGCCTCCTTTGGATTCTTCTTCCTCACTCAATGTGAGCACTTAAACACACACACAGCCGGCTGAGTGTTAAAAGGTCTGGAATTGCCTGCAGTGTGAAGATGAGAACTTGTCACTGCTCCAAAGCTAAATGACAAGTAGCTTAATAGTAACCCATACAGTTTGCGGCCAAGTTTTGTTAAGTAGATATTTCACACTGGTGCTTTCATGCTAACACTTGAGCACACAGAATGTTGAGTGATGGCAGCTTGATCCAAAGTAAAACCGCTGTAGCAATTTTTAAAGAAATGTGTTGATGATCTTCTACTCTGGAGATAGAGAGGGGTTTGCCAAAGTTGGTAGAATTCATCATCTGGGGACCATGAACACATGTGAAATAGTTCATAGCAATTATTTCAGATATTTCAGTCTGGACCAAAGTGGTAGACCGACAGACGGACGATGAGGTCTAAAGAAAGCGTGCGGGAAAAGCTGACAGGGGCATCAAAAATGGCGACAGGGCGTCTTGTCAGCACTGTGGAAAAGAAGGTGAATTAGGTCATTGATATTAAAAGTCTGGATCTATCATGTTCACATTTTTACCCAGGACAGTTTCAATTGTAGTTGCATACGGTCACTTAGCATAGTGAATGCTGAAGTGTTGCCAATAATCTGCAAGGATGATTTCTAGTGTCTTCTTTGTCATTTCACAAGTTAGTCTCCCAACATCTCTTTGAAACCACCCACATACATTTTGAGTTCACTTCACTTTTCATTAACTATCACGACACTGATCCTGAGTGACACGAGCAGGGGAGTATGTAGCAGAGGGAGGCCGAAGTGGGCCACGGTCTTCATTGATTAATGTAATGCCTTTACTGCTGTGATGTTTATTGATGTGACACTGCAGGGAAAGGTGTGAGCTGTTGAAATACTGGACTCTTTACAAGTAGCTACAAAGATAACTGGCTGTATATTTATTTGTTTATCGCCGACAAGCGGAAGAAAAGTATCTGTGAGGGAGATTTATCTGTTGCCGTCGATGCTCACTCAGAAATAACAATCCCCCCCCCCCCCCTCTCGTCAGACACTGACAGCCATTGTGTTGTGTGTGAACTGAAAAATGGGTGGATGATGAGTTACCAGGGCAAACCTTCATGGCGGGGTTAGCATAATGTGGGGGTGAAGAATTGCACTGCAGTGAGGGAAGTGGTTATACGATCCTCGCTACTATTTCACACACAGTTTATCCTCCATTAAACAATCATAGAGAGACGGGAAGAGAAGTCTGTGTGTATGAGCAAGCATGTGATTGTGTGTGCGTGTGCGTGCGTGCGCGTGCGCGTGCATGAGTGATAGGGACAGAACGATGGAAGCAGCCTGTGATTATGCATTTCTTATCTCTTATTCAGAGCGGGAATCTGCCGGGCTGCCGCGCATAATGACAAACTTCAGCCACGAAGGGAAACATTAGGACATGAAACTGGTTCACATTTTGATGTTAAAGTGTAGTAATAAAGGCCCAAGCTCAAAGATTTTACAATCTGTGTGATTCTTTAGTCTCTCCCTGTGATTTCTACTATTGTACTAAATCTTTCAGATTGTGATTTTAGCTCTGTTCGGTCACAGTTCTTTCCTGTCTCCTTATTTAAGGTGTACATCGCCTGCCCAAAACAGTGTCGCACTGTGAGGGTGTAAAAACCTCCTGTACCAAGTTGAGGGTGGTCATTTCCTCTGAAAGCACATATCCTGCTGATGATTTAGAAAATTGAGCCAGGAAACTGTGTCTTTCATAGCTCTGTTATCCTTCACGAGACTAAAATATCACTGAAACAAGGTCGGACACAGTGACGTCCACCACAGAGAGAAAAAAAAACTAATTGCGCACATTTTGTGTGTGTGACGAGCCCTACAGGGGGCACAAAGCTGGGAAGAATTTTAAAGTGGAAATTACTAGCTACAGAAAATAAAATACATGCACTTTGATACTGTGATTTAGAGCGCGGTGGAGGTGCATCTGTGTTGCAGTGGCTGTTTTTCTCCCCCTATTACTGCTGCACTTCTTTTCTTCTGCTGCTGACAACACAGAGGTCTTTGGCACGGTTCAGGAGTGAACACGGAGAGTGGTAGAATAAGAGAAAATTGGAGGAAAAAATTGGCGCAAATCTGTCAATTTAACACCCACGTACACCTGGCCACTCTAGTGATGTGACTGTTTGGCCGTTGGTTTAAGAGAGATACAAACAATGGGAGAGGCAGACCCTACAACCAAGACCTTTAAACCAGATTCCAGACTGAGAGAGTGTATTTTGACCTTTACGACCTCTAAACAAAGACACAGCTGGAAAACTGGAAAAGCCTTTCCTTTTGAAACGGTCTTGGCTGAATTATTGATAACAGTCCACACTAAAGCACATCATTGCCACAAGTTTATGGTGGCATTCCCAGTGGGACTGAGCCTTTGTTGCTCAGTTCTGACTTCTGGACAGGCTGGAGCATCCAATATACTGTATATATCTCAGCCTGGGCCCCAATGATGGAGGGGGGCCACATATTTGGATGAAATAAAAGCTTTATTATTGAATTATGTCTGCTCAAACCCTGCTGTCCCTCTATGGAGCATTGATTTTGGACATTTATGTTGGCTCCACGTGAGAACAACTGGGGTTTGGTATATGGATCGAAGATGTGAGAATTATGGTCTTTTACACGTTCGCTCAGGCACCTCGTCAAAATCTGCTCTACAGAGTATTGACTGTGTTGGCGATGCTTGTTTTTGGAGATGAAAGAAGATTGAGGCTGTTTTCATGACAGACATTGTCATGAAATTGCTGGGGATCAATAATACATATGGGACTAGATCATACATCACAACCAGGGTATCATCTGTGGCGTAGTTCGGTTGGGCTCATCGCCACCGGCCTCTCAGCTGTCTCCGAAATTCATGTGACCCGAATCAAATGTGGTATCACACTGGCTTTAACCATGATGCTCTCAGCTAATGTTCAAATGGAAGCTAGCGGAAATGCTTTTTAGGCTCGCACGCACACTAACAGATGATTAGATTAGCTGTAATTGAGACATGTGCTCTACCCGGAGCTGTTATGCCAGCACTCATCTGCTCTGATTGAGAGAGCTCAAGACTGTGATGCTGCATAGAAAGAGTGGAGACGTGTGTCAGAGCACTGCACCGTTAACAAACATGGTTTTTAAAGAATACATACCCCCTTTGTTTAAGGCATTCTTCTTAGAGTTAGATCTGTGATTGTTTTGAAAATCAGTAAGAACAACATTTGGTTTTCCAGGTTGTGAAAAAAGCTTTTGGCTGATGTACGTATATCTACCTCCAGCCCAACTTGCTCTCGCTCCTTACTAGAGACTGAGAAGTCTCTGACTCTTCTTTAATGACTTACTAAAACAGCAGAATGGCTTTTTAGAAAGCGAGTAAGTCATAATGAGTCATGAGATCATTGGAGGATTATAACTACTCATGTTTACAATACAATCTCATTTCTGGAGCTTTCCACAATCTTCGTCAGCAGATGGAGTTTGCCCAGTTGTCATAAAGTTGTACATGTTCAGATTTCCATTTTTCTGAGCACCTTAAAGGAAAGGTGATTTTACACATCAAAGTCTGTTTACAGGACTTATAAAACAAGTGTATAAAGCGTTTTGCTGCTCCAGAGGGTGCTGTGTGAATTTGATAACCCCCCCCCCCCCCCCCCCAAGTGATGTCCCTTAAGTCATCATTAGTTGGGTCTTAGCAGGTAACACTTTTTATGTTAACTCTAGTAGATTTAAATAAATGCTAAATATATATAAATCATTTTTTTCCTTCAAATTAGGAGTTGTGGATCTTCTACCAGAGGGTAAAAACTGCCTCCGTTTGTATCAATAATAAAGATAATTTACAGGAAGCATGTGCACTCAGTTACATGTACTTTTGTTTCTCCTGCTCTACTTTCATGTGTGCCTCACAAACACAAACTCAAATAGACAAACTGTTTTTGTATCTTATTCCCAGACGCGTGCAGCTGTAAACTGCATGTCCCTGTAAAGTGATTACATTTGGCGCTAAACAGAGAGGAAGCGCAGACAGGCAGAGCGTGTGCACCCAGAGCGTATGTGGCCTACTGATTATCTGTCTGCCTGTCTGTCTGTGTTGATTCATTCATTCCCTGCGACACGGCCACACCCTCCCGCTGCTCTCCCGCTGCTCTCCCGCTGCCACTGCATGTCAGGGTAACAAATGGCTGCCCACCCCTCAGGAAACTAGCATCATCGTCTGTACACAGAGCCAGAGGGAAACGTCAGGAAACATGCATTTATCTCCAGCCAATCAATGCTGGACGGCTGCAGAGAGCAGAGCTTACACACTGTTGCTGATGTTTTGTCATCTGATTGCTCGGCTTTTTGAAATGCAGCGACCGTCAATTATTGAAAACGGTTTGGTCAATGCCAATTACAAGATATAAGCACGGTTGGTCATGTCAATACACATGAGAGAGCGTACATGCAGTTTGACGTTGTTGGATGTTGTGGGCATGTGAGTTTGGCCCTGTGAGGAGGGATCCATTGGCCCTGTATGCTTAGTGAGCCTGTGGCTCGATCAATCGGTCCAACGAGCAGACTCCATCAGATTAAGAGCCCTGAAGATAGGCTGTTGACAGATGATAAGGCTGTGTAAACTGTCTTGTTTCATTTCACCACAATAGACCTCCTGCCACCACCTCGATGTATGGCCGTGAGTGTTGTCGATGAGAAAAGGCTTATCTTGTTTAACCATGGGCCAAACGCACAAGCTGCCCTATTAAATGTGACTGTGCAAAGGATATGCTTGGTCTTATACTAAAGGTATCTGAGCTATTAATGTGTTGTTTCCATATGTGGTGATATTGCAGATCAGACCAGAGTGTTGTGTTTATGGATGCCGGGATATTGCTTGTTCTGCCCTGAGGCCGTATTGGACATTTGTTATTGCTCCCAAATGTGCCACCGCATTCTTGTTTATCTTGTGTTTATTATAGTGTACATTCTTTCTCTCTCTCTGTGTCAATGTGTGTGTGTGTGTGTGTGTGTGTGTGTGTGTGTGTGTGTGTGTGTGTGTGTGTGCAGCTCCAGAGACTAAAGCGCTCGCTGTCCTTCAAGACCATCATGCGCAGTAAAAGCGTGGAGAACTTCTTCCAAAGGTCCTACAGCGACGCTCGCCTGCCCCCAGATTTCATCACTGACCCACCGCCTCCTTCTCCCCCACTGCTGCCTGGCTCTCCTCTCGTCGGCGAGCGCTCACCGTCCATTTCACCATCTCTAAGCCCCAACCCCTCCATCTGCTCCCACTCCCCCTCTCTCAGCCTTTCCCCATCACTGCCCATCAAGCCTCCCCGGCCTCAGATTACCCACTGTTTCCAGGACCATGTCTTTCGCAAGCCCACCAACTGCCAGCACTGCAAGCACATGATAGTGGGTAAGGTCCTCAATCTACTCCCTGGACTCTCTTTGCATTTTACAAGCCAGTCGCTTAGCACTTCTGGCCTCCCTCTTTGTTAACCTGGCATCCCATTTATAATGCGCATACACTTTGTTGATTTGCATACTACTATTATTACGAGTTCTACTCCTACTATTATAAAAACTTTCTGGCAGAAAGACTCTCGGCAAGCTAACTATTGTTACTATTATATACTTAAGTAGCATTTTCAACTTGGCTTGTTGTAAATAGCTGCCATGTGACTATTCTCACTCGGGTGCAAATAAACTAAAATTAGATTCAGGATTTGACTGTATGTCTTCATTGCAGCTCTCTCAGTGTTTACATATGTGAAAAAAGCATTGGATTATTAACAGGGATATAGTGCTGCAGATGCGTGAGCGCTCTCATCCCTAATTAGCCGCTCACAGTATTTCTGCTAAATCTACTTCCTGTCTCTATGATTGATTACAGACTGCAACCTGCTCCTTTGTGCCTGTGGTGTTTTTTTTGCATGTATTGTGGGTTTATTTATGTGATGCATCACTTTACTCTAGCTGTACTCCTCTGCAGTCCCCAAACGCAGTCCAGCCTCTATCTCCTTGTTACGCTGATTAGGCAGAATCCATGTTTGCTCTTACAAAGTAAAAGCAAATGTTGTTATCGAGCAATCAATTTAGCTTGTTTGTTGTTTCTGCTCCCTAAAAGACCTGTCGATGTCATGCCCATCTGCAACAAATCCAGAAATCTATTTATCTTTTGATTTGTAGGATGAAAGTGACTCAACCTCAATCGTTAAAGACATGCAAGAAACAACATTGCCTAACAAATGAAGGGGAAACATCTCAATCCTCAGAGGCTTTTATCACTGAAGTGCTTGAAACATGAAAAAGCAAGACGACTCGATGCCAAATCGATTATGATTGAAATATCTCCAGCTGGTGTCCAATCTCTCCAGGTTGTTTTGGAAGAGGAGCTGTTGATTATGAAGCTGTTAGTGTCGGTGCCAGCTTGATAATACGACAACATTTTATTACGTTCTCTACCTGAGCAGAAGGAAACCTGCTCATACGATCTGAAGGCCACTCTGGTTTGTTAGGATTTTCTCCCTATTGCAGATCTGCAGCCTGCTGTGTAGCCTTGTTTCATTTCCGTGGCTGCCTCCATGTCTGCCTTTCATCTGCTCTCATTCTCTCATCTTTGTCCCTCTCTGCAGGAAACTCCAAACAGGCTCTGCGGTGTAAAACATGCAAGATGGCTGCTCACCTGTGGTGCACCTCAGAACTATCGCAGCAGCCATGCTACGGGAAGGTGCGGAGATACTCACAGAACTTTGATGATTTGATTTGATGTATATAACATTGGTAGTTTTTTGTCAACATGATCACTGTATGTCTTGGTTTGCTCAATGTTCTGTCTGTGAATCAACTTTGTTTTGTTATTTTGCACCATTTTTGGCGCCAAGTAATCACTCCTGCAGTGTTCTTACAATGTAGGCCTACTTCACTTCAGACAGTGTGGGAGATTGTTCTTAGATTTCCTGTTTGTGACGTTCGTGTATGTGGTAATCTTGTCGTTGTCTGTTCATCCATGGTGACTATAACTACCCAGTTCCTCCGTTGTTGATTCCAAACAATCTGGAAATGTAAGAAACAAAAAACATGATACATTTCAGTCTGTTTGCAGGATATGCTCTCTGTTAGCATGTTTATCTAACAACCCAAGTTTCGCCACCTCAGTCCAGTCTTACCCCCAATTTATCTGTGTTTCCCCAGACATCACGCAGAATTTAACCTGCGTTTTGATAACAATTTCATGTGTTTTGTGGAACAGTCTTAAGTACAGTGTTTAAATACAAACAACATTCTCAGAAAAGTTTCAACCCACAGACGCCAACACTGGAGCTCTCGACCTGAGGAGTGTAGTGCACTTGGTAGCAAATTGGGAGTGATTTTAGACCAAGCCTTTGTGTTTATCTTCTAGTACAGGGCAGAGGACATTAGCATGCAGCAAGAGGCGAGACCTTCTGAGAGCCACTCGGACAATTTTAAGAGTGCTGTGTTCCAAACGGCTCCGTGTGGTTTGACAGACGAGCAGAAAGACGGAGAGACGGAGAGATAGGGGAATCACGAGGGCAGCGAAAGGCAAAAAAATATCACCAGAACAGAACCTGGGTATCTTCACCGGAACGAAGGTGTCACACAGTTTTGTTTTCTCATCAACATAATACGACAAACTGAGTGGCTCATTTGCAAGCCAAGGGAAAGACAAACTGATATCTCAGCTGAAACACGTACTCTGCTTAATTCAGTGTGAAATTGTACCCGTGCAGACACATAAGCATAATTACATGCCCATGTGTGTAAGCCATGTGCATACTGGTAAGCGGCTAAGTGAATTTCTTGTTCATAATTAGCAGCAAAGAGAGCTACATCTTGCCCCAGTTTGTGACTTGATGGCAGAAATTAGCACTTTTTCTGCAGCATATGTGTCTTGATGTGCTTCTGATTCAGTAATTCAGAAATAAGTCTATTAATAAAGTCTTAAAGGTACGACATGAGCCACTTTCACTTCAGCTCAGCCTATAAAAAAAGAAGTAAACTGTAAAATCCTTCTTTCTGTTCTCCTCCATTAGTCTGGAGCATTCAAGCGAAACTTCAGCTCGCCAATGCTCGTCAATGACCAGTTGTCTGTCGTCAAGGAAGTTCTGCCGAGCCAAGGTGAGCATACCCGTGTGTCTGTGTGCGTGGGCTTTATGAGTGAGTGCAAATGTGCATTATGTATGCGTCCCATGTGCTTTTGTTTTGTGATGTTGCTCTTGTAGCCTCGTTTATTTGTAGATTTTTGTGTGCTTGTGCATGCACTGTAATAAAACCAGAACTGTCTCCATCTCACCGGATGACCGAGGAGCATGAAGTGGGAAAATGTAAAGAGGAAGATCAAATTCAGCTTTTCTTGGAGGCTGACGGACGGTCTGCATCCTGAAAGTATGTGAATAGATATTTATAAGTTCTAATGTTTATGTTTTTATATTTCTGTTCATGCTTTGTACTGTATAGCCTTTGACCGATAAAGGGTTTTATTTTATTGTCTGGCACTTCAATTTGCATGTTTAAGCTACATCAACATTGAAGTGTTGCCTATTTTTTGATCGGTCTATACGTCCTAACTAGCTCTCTGCATCATAACATCCCTTCTGTTTTACCAAAAAAATGTAATTTTGAATACAAATCACATTTTTACTTTGTGGTGCACAATTATGGAAGTAAATAAATCTGACGTTTCCTTGTTGTCTCTTTGTGAAGTACAAACGTGTTGCTACAAGCACAGACTGTTGTGTCCTCAAAGTACCTGAATTTGTTCTTCCAATCACCATCTTCTCTGATTGGGAGCTTGTTATTCTTTGAAATACCTTTTGGACGAACATCTGTGTAGGTGTTACAGTCCCTTCATCTCATATACGGTGTGCCTCGCTGAATCAGGGTTAGCACCTCGTACTGTCACTTCCTTGCTCTATCTATGATTCAGGGCACAATTGATCTACAGCCCTGTCATCACCCATGAGCTGAGCACCATAACGCCTGGGACTCTGCCAGAGCCAGCTGAGACTGCAACCTGCCAAACTCACAATCACACGTTGCAAAGTGTCCTCGTAATCAAGCAAACTAAAGGCTTGGTAAAATACTGAGCTCATGTTTACACATATTAATATTAGATGCCATTTTTAGGAAAGGATACTTATAGACCCTGTAATTTCCCATCAACTTTTGTCAGAGCAGTTTATTCTGTCATATTAAACCTCATTTATAAGGGTGAGAGTCTAATGGCTTCAGGAGTGAAGTACTTAACAGTTAACGCTCTAGTGCAGTTAACGCTCTAGTGCAGTTAACGCTCTAGGTTACAATCTTTTTACAGAAGAATAACAGCTGTGTTAGGTTAAAGTCAAAGTCAAAGAGGAAACAAACTGCCAAACTGTGGTTGTTATTGAATTGAACGTTCAAGATAATAATTTGTCAAAGTAAGCTGAAGTCACAAGAGCCAATGGGGATGAAGGTACATATGAAGACCGATATTAAGCCATATCATATATAGAATCCTCATGTCTGCACTGCAGAGAGAGCTGAAGGTCAGCGACTCGGTAAGAGTAATTATTTGGAGTACAGTCTCTGAGCACAAATTTCTACTGTTTACTCTCTTCCTCTGCAATTAATTGCTCTTTGTAGAAAGGCCTGCATCAGTGAAAATGCGGCAGTCAATTTAAAGCACACTAGAGCTTTATCACCTCGGAATACTCGCATGTATCTAGTCGCACTAGACATTCTTGCTGCAGAATTTCTATTTAATTTATCACGAGAGCATGGACGCGCTGACTTCAATATTAAACTGAATATTATTATGACTTCATCCTTCCAACACACACACACACACACACACACACACACACACACAGCACTTCTGGCCCTGCAGAAAAAAAACATCATTCTGTCTTCATTCGACTGGTGTTGAGCTGGACAGAAAGAGGAGCAGCAAATTGAATTCCTATCTTCAGAAATACTCTGATAGCACTACCATCTACATGAAATGTAGCAATGAAGCCTTGCTGAGGGTTTCCATATTTAAATCTCATCTCTACTCATCTACAGCTCCAGATATATTCCAGCTATTAAAACTAAGACATATCTCCTGCCAATAAGTAAATGTATAAAGAAATCAAATCGTGTAGAATTATTGGAATGTCTTGGTGTCTCATTAACTTTTGGCTGATGTCCTCTGTCAGATCTAACGTGGGTCCAGGACTGACTGTGTTACTACAGTTATATTTAGACCCTCTGGTTCCTCCAGATTGTCATAGTAATAATGATGCACAGTGTTATCTCCGTGGGTAGTCCAAATTGTGTGCGAAACTGTGTCTTTGCTTGAATAATTTACAGTTGTGTTTGTAAATATAGTGAACATAAGCGTGTGCGTGCATTGGTTTTATGACTGTGTATGTGGTTTCAGAGGCTGTGCGGATGCGTGTAGATCCCGTGTATGCCGCCTTGCGCTACGGGACGTCCTTGGCACAGATGAGCCGCTCCAGTTTTGGCAGTTTGTCAGAGTCGCCAACACGCAGCCTGGTATGACATCGTCGCCTTGTGGTTAAGGGTAGAGGACAGTTGAATCAGTGTGATTAAGACATAAAGTTTTTACGACATTGGTCCATTGGTCAACTCACTGGTGAAATGTTGAGACCATAGAAACAGACGTGCAGTGATTTGTAGCGCCACACTCCCTAGTTTATAGCTCTGACAAATTTTGTAAAACCGCTACAAATCAGCTCCAAATAATTGCGAGGATTGGCCGGATGATATTAAAGGTTAAGGATTGCGCTCTAAAGGTATAGTTTAACATTTGGGGTCGGAATTAAATGAGCAGATTGATTTCATGTCTGCACAGTAGAGCGGGATCAATCTTCTCTTCTCATCTATTGAATTGAATGAGAGTAAATGAGGCAAAAACAATTCCTTGAAAATTAATTAAGGCTTTTCAAAAGTTTCCTCTCTTTTGAGGGCATTTTAGTCCCCTACTTACTGTAAATCCAACTTGGCATATGGTGAAGTGTTGTAATTGAGCACCAGGCTATCATCTATCTATGAAGAGTACTGTATAATGAATGACACTGTGGTCTCTGTGTTCCTCTCATTAAACATGTAGTTGAACCAGTGTGCAAATTGTCCTAAACCCCCACTTGTTTCATACATGACGCATATATATATATATATCTATATATCTATATATATATATATATCTATATATCTATATATATATATCTATATATAATATATATCTATCTATCTATATATATCTATCTATATATATATCTATCTATATATATATCTATCTATATCTATATCTATATATATCTATATCTATATATATCTATATCTATAT